GTGTCCCACCGTGCAGCAGCACACCAGGTGAACTCTGCAGCCCCCCCGGCCCCCCCCATTACCTCCACATGTGTGAGCTGAGGTGCCGCTCCAGCATGGAGCTCAGCGCCGAGCAGAAGCGGTCGAGCCTCCGGTTAAAGACGTAGCAGCCAGGGCTGACCAAGCGGCTCCCGAAGGTGCAGAACTATGAGGGATGGTGGGGGGGGGGGTTCAGACAGGGTGACCCCCCCCCAACCACGGGGGGCACCCAGCCCAACTCACCGCTTGAGGCCGCGGTGGGCGGGCGGCGTAGTGGCAGTCGGGGCGGTGGGCGTCCTCAGCAGCCCCCTCCTCCTCGCTGTCCTCGCTGGACCCCCGACTGCCCCCCTCCTTGGGCAGGGGGAAGGGGAAGAGCCCCCCATCCCCCTCCTCGGGGTCGCTGTCGGAGGGAAGCCGAGCCCTGTGCGGGAGGTGGGCTGTAAGAGATGGGGGGGACACAGCTTGGAAGGGGGGGGGGGACGGTGGCAGGGGACAGTGGGAGCTCACCTGGGGGGCGGGCAGTGGACGTGGGGGGGTCTGGGGCGGCAGGGCGATGAGCCGGGAGGGGCGGCGGGGGGCTGCGGCAGCGCGGGGGGGGGCGGGCGGTTCAGAGCCGGGGGGGTCCTTCCTGGGGGGGCTTTTCTCCTTCGGGGCTTCACGGCGGGAGCTGGCCTTCAGCTCGGCCACCAGCACATCAAAGTCCTTGGCGCGGCCCTGCACCTCGCGCCGCTGGTGCACCGAGTGGATCTGTGGGGCGAGGGGGGGGGGGGGGGGGGGTCACGTCATGAGGGCCCTCCCCATGCGTCCCCTTTTAGGTGGGAGACCCCCCCCCTCAACACCCGCTAGCAGAGGGGCAAAACCCCATCGCCATGCTGCTCCCGGGGCCCCGCAGGACGGATGCACGGTGTTACCTTGCAGGTGAGCAGGCGGGTGCAAACCTTCTTGGTGTCGGGGTTCAGCACGCCGCACTGCCGGTTCAGGTCGCACTCCTTCCCTGCGGGCACACGAGGCAGTGGGATGTGGAGGGGGGGGGCAAAGCTGTGACCCCCACCAGCCCCACAGCAGCATTCACACCACCGGCGTATGGAGCCAGGGCAGGACCCCATGGACTGCAGCCCCTCAAGGACCACATCTCCCCATGGACTGCAGCCCCCCATGTATGGTATCCACCCGCAGACCCTCAAGGACTGCAGACCCCAATGAACCACAGCCTCCCCCCCCCCCCCCCGCCAGTGGGGCCCAGCACTGTGGGCTCCTCCCCCCCATGCTGTGCCATTGGGATCACAGCCCACCTTTGGGCACGGAGGGACACAGTTACCCATCCCATTACCTCCCCCAAAGCAACATCCCCCCCCCCAGCCTGCAGAACCCCAGCACTCACGCGTCAGCTTCTTGTGGGCCCTGGGGGGTGGCCTGCAGACCCCCGGCTCCTTCTCCCCCCCTGCTTTGAGCACAGGGCTGGCAGTTGGTGGTGGTGGGTCCCCCCCGGCCCCTGGGGGCTCTTTGGGCAGTGGAGGCGGCGTGGAGGAGGGCCTCCCCGGGGGCTCAGTGGGGCTGGAGGCAGGTGGTGCAGCGGACGCTTTGGGGGGGGTTTTAGGGGCTGCTTTGAGCCCCTCCGGCTTGGGGAGGCTGGGGATCTTCTCCAGGTTCACCACCGGCATGAACAAGCTGGGGAGAAACGGGGCGGTCAGAGTGGGGGGCGAGCGGCACCTGGGGGGAGGGGGGGGCACGGCGACCCCCAGCTCTGCTCACCAGAGGTTGTTGTCCTTCTGTGCTTTCTCTGGCAGCGGCTGAGCCCTGCTGCGCGCTCCCTGTCCTTTGTCCCGCAGCGCTTTGCCCGCCGGCTGCCCGTTGATGGCGTGGCACTTGGCGTACAGCTTGCTGAGCGGGCCGTGACGCCGTTCTGCGCAGGGAACGGCCCTCCATCAGCCCCCTGCTGGGTTCACAGTCCCCCCCCGGGGTTCCCACCCCCCCCCCCCCCCCCCCCCCCCCCCCCATCACCCCCCAGCTCACCGCAGTGCTTCTGGAAGGCCTGAGGCTTCACCACCTGGCTGCAGTGGTTGCAAACCACGAGGTAGAACTCATCGTGCGCCGGGCAGTGGCCGAAGATGGACATGTCTGTGGGGTGGAGGTGGGTCAGGCACTGGAGCTGCGTGCAGCCCCAAAACGGGGGGTTTTCTCCCCAAAACGGGGAGCTTACCTTCCTTGATCAGCGTCATGGCGTCCAGTTTCTTGCTCCCCTTGCTGCTCTCCTCCAGCTCCAACCCTGCTGGGGACAGAATCCCACCATCAATATCCTGAGCTGCGCCGGCCTCAGCTTTGCCTCGTCTCTCTGCAGCCACCGCATCCCCTGCTGCCTCCCACCGCCCGCTGCTCCCAGGGCAATTAAAAGCACAATGACAAAGGTTCAAATCAGACCTGAGGATGAATCCAGAGCTCAACCCCGGAATCAGGGAGCGCCATGAGCGGCACCCGGCTGCACCCTGTGACAGCTGGGGACAGCGGGTGGCACAGAGCGGGCACTGTGATGTGCAGGGAGCGCCGAGAGCCCAAAGCCACCCTCACTGCCATGCGTGGGGCTGACCAGGGACGTGGGGTCAGCCCATCCTGGGGCTGGGTCACCACGTGCCCCCAGCTGAGCCAGCAGCACCCATCCTCGCCAGCCATGCCAGCTGGGCACCGCATCCCCAGCCACCCCGTCCAGCCATGCCACACCGGGCGCTCGATCCTGCCTGGCTGTGCCGTACTGGGGGCTCAGTGCCATCCAACCGGGCACCCAGCTGTGTCTCGTTGTGCCACAACGGGCACCCGGTCCCGTCCAGCTGTGCCGTACCGGGCACAGAGTTGTGCACAGCTGTGCCATACCGGGCACTCAGCCTCTCACAGCGATGCCATACGGGGTGCCCAGCGCCGTCCATCCACGCCATACCGGGCGCCCAGTTGCACCCTGCCGTGCCACGCCGGGCTCGCGGTCCCTCTCAGCGATGCCATTCCGTGTGCCCGGCGCCGTCCAGCCGTG